CATTATCACATCTTCATAGCCCTTCCACTGAAATGTTCCCCCGTAACCTGAAGAATGTGACCATTAAAGGAGAACATAGAAACAGCACAGACTACAAAATTACAGTTTTTGATGAAACTAACAGAAAAATTTCTAGCTGATATTTTTCAAAGTTTTTTTTTTTTGAGCAAGTTTTCTATGCATTTAAAAATATTTAGATCTCATAAATAAATTTTGAGCTCATAAAAACACCCACACTGAAAGAGCTCAAGCCCAGGGGAAAAGCATCAGTTACTTGGCAGGTTAGTTTCAGACACGCTAGGCTAAGTATTCAGAAAGTCTGACAACAACCTACTCTAGGGAAAGAAGAACAGCAAGAACATGAATTATTTATGTGAGCAGTGATAATCCTCAACTTTGTTTAAATATACACGGAATCAAGTTTTGATGATCTCTGGGTAAATTATCCAAATTGTGCAATAAAAATGTAGTTCTTGAAGGTAAATCTTTTCATATTTATGACCATTATTTTATACTTTAACATCATTTCTGAAAGATAAATATACTAGAAAAGTAATTTTTATACTTTTAAAATTATTGTTTTGGTTTTGTCTGTTACTATTTACCACTATCCTCACTTAGTGTAGAATTGAGTACTCCATATCCAGAATCCTATTAGATGCATTTTACACAGTGAGTGGCAGGCTATCTTAAATCATAAACATATTCACAAGACTTTATAGACAACTGAACATTAAAAAGACACACTATTGACTTTGAAATGTCTCTTGATTTGCCAAAATTCTGTAAATCCCAAGTTCTGGTTTCTAATAGAACCCTATCTGAATTCTTCTTTTTTCTCCCTTCATCTTACAGAATCTGAAACCAGCACATCCGCTGGAGCAGACAGATGACAGGTCTGTTTCTATTTCTTGGGATTCTTCATCAGTGCAGTGAGAACTTCACTCCATGAAATTTCTATTGGCCGTTTAGATGTATGTTGTAATTAAAGATGATTATGATCTAATTTTGTGGCTCAGAAATTAAGTAACTCACAAGGCAGGAAAACAAGGTTTGCATAAAATTATTATGTTAGGAATACAAAGATGATGGTAGAAGGCATTTTGAAAGCAAGTTCTTTGAACTGCAACTTAATTTTTATTATTTCCAAAGATTAATATTGGATCTTGAGTATTATACCCTCTTCTAATGTTAATGATTCCATTTTATTCACTCATCATTCAACTCTGACAATTAGTCAGATATGCGTTTATAATATCTGCACTTGAAAAACTATTTTTAATTAGACTAGCTGGTATTCTCAGTAATTAAAATCATAGTAATAGTCATTTTAAGTGCCCTATTTAGTTTGGTATGATAGCAAAATCTGATGAGCAAATGCTATAACGATTTTCACAGTAACTGTGTTTTGCAAATCTAGAGCTAAATATTAAGGATTCCTCAAATAATCCACAAAGAACAACAGATACATCCCAACAGAGTGCATGTAACTGGGAAAACCACGCTTGTGTCCTTAAACTAAACACAACCCAAAAATTCAGTTATATTCTCCTGCCAGTAGTAACAACTTAAGCAACAACCTAATTATTCAATAAATAATTTTGGGTTTAACAACAAAAAAAACCCAAACAAAAATCAAAAAGAAAAAAGTTTCATTTTCTGCCAAAGCAGAAAAGCTTAAAACTATAGGCTATTACAAAATAATGATTTTTCTTATTTCCCATGCAAAAGAAATTGGTATTTCCTTTCATCAGCTCTTATATTGAAAAGAAATGAGAGGAATAGGAAGAAAAGTTGCTATGTCACTGCTGCAACACAGGAACTGCCATAACCGACCAGCCCCCTCAGTGGTCCTCTTAGCAGTTTTGTCTCAGAAGTATCTGGTATTGCCTAAAGCCAAAGTGCTCTAGAACTTACCTTCATTATAAGCTAAATGATAATTTGTTTCTTCTGTGCAGCACTCCACTGCTTTTGTAAAACCATTACACTTCAAATACTCTGCAAATTTTACACAAAGATTTGATTCATCATTTGATTCAACTCACTAGCTTGGTGATTTATACACTGCTTGTGCAATTTGAAATTAAAAATATCAGACAGATTTATGTTTCCCAGTCATATAGATGTTTCTGGGATCTCAGCCATTACCTCAGACTAAAACGTGTTATTAAAAAATTAATCCTTGAGCACATAAGTTTAACAGTGTCTTGTAGTAACTAGGTTCACCAGGTTAAGTATGGCATGGACAAAAATCTCCTTCTACCAATCTTTCTTAACAGCAGATGGGGGGGGGGGAGAAAAAGAAAAACAGAAAAAAACAAAGAAAAAAGACTGCATCCAATTAATCTCTCTACATCATGTATTATTTTATACACTCTCTTTATTGCTCATTCTTTGCTAATGTAGTCTTCTAATATCCTCTCATACCATTTTTTCCAGGACTTGTACATGTTTTATTACTGTTCTCTGAACCTGTGATTTTGAGGTGCCCTTGGATGCTATTCAAGATAAAACCCAACATATTCACTTGGTTTTTGGCTGTTACTGTACAGTTTATTCATCATGTCTTTTGAATATCTGCATGTACTATATAGACTACTATAAAATTCCAAATAATTATTAAATATGCAGTCAATTTAATTCAAAGTGCCAACAGAATCAAAGTAAATAATGTTTCAATGAAATACTACTAAAACTGAAAATTACTAAGAAAGTGCTACTAGTAATACAAAAACTTTTGTTAGAAAAATATATCAACACTTGAGAAAATGTAAGTGATCAAAACTAATCAAATGTTATTTCTCACAAAGCTGAATAATAAATACTGGTTGCAAATGTCGTTAACATTAGTTAGTGCACTTAAAAGAATTTTGATCTAGTAAATCAACAAGACTCCTACTAGATTAAAACAGAAAAAAAGACAGGTATAAAAATGGTCAAGTGTTTAATGACAGTTAAGTATCTTGGCACTTCTCTTGTCTTATCTGGATCTGAGTGAAAGTGGGTGAGTGTGGCCACATATTCCCTGCATCCAGCAGCGCGAACAGATGAAAGAAATCCTTATTCTTTCTAGTAACGTAGTTTTCCCCGTATTTGCTCCAGTCTGCCTTTACAGGACTATCTAGAAGTACTGCACCCTTGTCTTTCTTTCTTGGACAATGCTTTGGCTATGAGTTTGTCAGCTACGAAGAGGTAAAAGATACTTTAGATTAATTATTACTATTTGGTGTAGTGATTAATTCTGTTTTTCAATAGAACACTTGGTAATTAGACTTATAGCAGTTGGCTTCAACAAGACAGCTGGCTTCAACAAGACAGCCAAATGAGTAATACTCAATAATTTATTAAATGCTACCTCTTTCTATTCACCTACTAAAACCAAAAAGCTACACAAAAAAGGTTAATAGAAGTAGCTTTGAGTGTTCTAACCTTGCACATTGCAATATACATTATGCAGCAAAGAATACATAAATCATCTGAAAAATGAAAAAATCGTAATTAAGCAACACAGCATATGCTTTGAGTCTCACAAATCAGAAGCAAAATATTAGATTCAATTTTAGAAAAGTACATGGAAAAAGTCAAGTAATTTGGAAGAAATGTGAAAAAAGTCACTTTTAAAGTAGTTATGTCAGTACCATTTGACTAAATGAACAGCTATGGAGAGCACACTTAAGGACAATACAAACGTTTTGGAATGAAAAAATTCTTAAATTTTAACAGTTACTGAGGTAGTATTTATTACTTTACCTTTTTTTTTTTTTTTTTTCTTACAAAGTATCCCATGTTTTAAGACAACCATCAGTCTTACTTCAAAGAAGGGGAACGTGAGCTAAGTAAGGCTTCTAATCTTTGGAGAACACAAAGTCAGGCATTGGAACAGGCTCCCCAGGGAACTGGTGGGATCACCACCCCTGCAAGCGTTCAAAACCCATGCAGATGAGGCCTTTAGAGACATCCAGTTTATTGATGGACTTGGCAGTCCTGGAGTAGTGGCTGGACTTGATGACCTTAAAGGCCTTTTCCAGCCTACATGATTTGGCCTGCTCTGCACATCACAGTTATCTCTAAAGATCCCTAAAAATAAAATAAAAACCAAACCCCTATTTTTTTTTTCCTTAACTAAAACCTGGCTGCTGTTTCTTTGTTCTTCTGTACATCCTGGATTCTGACTGCTAACTAAAATCACACAAACACAAATGCTTCTGTGTACAATATAGTATGTGATATGTAAGCAACAACATAATGCCATATGCAACTCAGTAAAAGCATATGGTGGGAGTGGAGAGATATTAGATCAAGTCAAGTAAAAAGCCTTTTTTTTCTTTGCTCCTTAAAAATATGAGTTCTCTATAACATATCCTCCTAAGCACATACAAGATGGGTGCAGTCATTCACATATGAGAACCATCAGCAGCTTTTAAGCAGAAACATCTATTGGCAAGTAAGCATGCTTAGATGCAGCATTTCTCCTGGTCTGGTAGTAAGGCTTTTGATCATATTGTATATCTTTAATTAGGATACTACTACATGTACTGAAAAAATCTCAAGAGACAAACATCACAGCTTTTTCGTAAGCAATCTGATAAGGAAATTTCAGGCAGAAAATTTGAGAACCTGTGGGGAGTGCATATTCCAACAATTGTAGTCAAATGCTCAAAAGTACATCAGGTTTTGACAAATCCATGTTGTTTCTTCAACCACTGTTTACATCACGTAGCTGTAAGAGATTCTACTGTAAACTCTGGAGTCAATGGGAGATCTGCCACTCATCACAACAGTGCAAAAGTAAGCAGATTACTTAATTGCTACATGATGGAATGGTTCTTTCCACTCAAGACAAATGTTAGATTTCTGTTGAAAAGCAAACTGCTTACCTGGAGTGAGGCCTATGAATAAGAAGCTTTTCCAAAAAGGACTGAAAATTAATACAGTCCACCTTGCGCACAAAAGACATACTCCACCACTACTTACAGAATCCTTCCTTCTGAAATTGTTACCTTATGTAGTGTTGCAGAATCTTCCTCTGCTTCTGTTGGTCCTTCAGGTAGGAGAGGAGCAGAATCTGGTACTAATCCTGAAGGCTGTTCTTCATATTCTTCTAAAAACAGGATCCATAATTGACCATTATGAGATCCATAAAGTATTATGACAATATTTAAGTGAACAACCATGACATTATGATCTAGCCAAAAACAGGATGTGAAAAATGTTTGAACCTAAACTTTGTATAAAAATTTATCAACATTTGCCCATTAACTTTTATTTATAGTAGTAATCTTAGATTTAAATGTGATTAATATATAGGTAATTTATATAGGTAATTATATAGAATAAAAATAATTAAACATTTGCATGACTAAGAACAAAGTCCATACTGAGAGCAATGTAGCTGATACTTAACAAATGTATCATATACATTTGATTCAATAAAATGGTCAGCAACTGAAATAATAAATCCTATACCATGGTTTTGGGTTTTTTTTTTCATAGTTGGATAACTGCCTCAAATATTTTGTTTTTGAGAACAACAGGCTGAGGTCTCTTCCTACAGACTGCTCTCTGGCTTATTTTGCAAGGAAAAAAGGAAGGAGAAAATGAACAGGATGTGCAAGGGGATGACAAAGGGGAAGGGCAGTAGTTAAGCTAACCTTAGTTATTATCATCATCAAGTTAGCACAGTGTTATGCACAATTTTTTTTAGGAAGGAGGCATAAATTCTAGACTTCGCTTTAAAGAGAGGAAGGAACTAGAAAATGGGGGAAGACTTCTTGAGAAATGCTGGGTTAAAAGATTTCTAAACACCAGTATAACTGATAGTTTGATAATTTAGTAAGGCAAATGAATTTCTTGTAGTATGCAACCACACACTATGTCCATAAGCTGAATATTAACAACTGTCAGGACACTGATCATCTTTACATCAGTAGACCCAGTTAGGATGCTTCCTACATTATTTGTTGAGACTCATTTAACTCTGTATGTTTTAGTTTAATCAAAACTGTTTAATGACAAGGACCTAGAGCAAGTTCAATAATCAGATATGCGATTTAACCATTACTGTTTTTTTAAAACTGTATACTGAAATCAACTTATTTGGGAACTGAGCATTCTGCATTAAAGGAGGGGAAAGTCAAGTGTTTTTACAAAGTATCTGATTAGATTTAATGGATATTGACTAAGAAAAACCTAACATGTCTGTGAAATGCTTTGATGTGTCCTAAAAAATTGCAAGGTAAGGCATGTACCAGGTGGCTATATGAAAGAAGAGACAAGGAATCAATCCAGTGGACTGATAATTAAGCCAATACTATATAAGCTGAAATGCTTAACTAAGTGCCAATACCCTGCTAAGTCAGGTATGTCAACTTGCTAAGTGGTTAGATAACTTTATACAATTTCTGCATCACAATAAGTTATCATTATGCCATCTGTGTCCTACATAAATTCATATCTTCAGAACAATAAACAGTATAGTATGGTAAAATCTTGGACCATCAGTTAAACCCACACTGGTATACCAGGAAGACAGCAGTAAACTTACTTTCACCAGCCACATAATTAGCTGGAAAATAGCCTTGCTGTCCATTTGCTAGGCTGCCAAACCACCAGTTATCATTATCTTTGTACAACACTTGGATAATGTCACTGCGATGGATGGTTAGCTCATCTGATCGATGCGCTGTGTAGTCATAAAGAGCCACTACCTAAAAGAGAGATAAGAGCACCACAGCTTTATCACAACCATGCCACAGAGAAAAAAGCGCAACATTCACTTCCTCTTGCAGAAAAGCAGCTGAAACCAAAGCTGCACTTTGGTAAAAGCTGAGGCTGTCTCAAGTTTTGCTAATGGGATCAGGGGTGGTGGGAAAGCAGCAGGAGAGGCAAGATAAAGGACTGTGGGATTGTAGAAATGGTTAAGAACATTCAATTCACTAAGATTAGATTCAAAACAGCAGCTGTTAGTTTTATAAGCAATTTACTTGTAAAGCAAAAGGAAAAAAAAAACACTTCATGCATTCACTTTCTCAGAATTGTTACACCACCGTCAGATCTCATTCTATGCACTCATGAAGCATATGTGTTTGAATAAATACTTCAACAGTACGACAGTTTTACTGAAGGAAAAATTTAGTACAAAAACATCACTGCAACCACTCCACTTTTTATTTTTTTTTTTGTTTAAAAATAAGGATTTACGTATACAGTGTTATAAATAACTGCCAAAAATACATTTATATTCTGCTTCATATACTAAATTCATTTTTCAATTAAATACAGTGCATCTATACTTTTCTGGAAAAAAGTACTAGTAGTGGTCAGCATCATGCATCCTGCACAGAACACATTACCACACACTGGATTTCTATCCTGAATATGAAAATATCACATGTCATTTCTTCCTTATTTCCTATGTCCTATTTATGAAAATCTGTCTTGATGACTTCGGAGCATAAAAGGCTAAAACCGAAAGAACTGAAAAAAGAAGGGAATTGATCGCTTCCCTCATCGTAAGTCAAGAGCAAAATTATGACCTATTTTACATGAAGACCACTGCTCCCCTACATATAGCCTTAACCTCAGATTCCTCTACAAAAATGTAAGTGAAGAGGTCAGAAACGGGGATTGTTAGGAGTGACAGGAGGCTATAGGGGCTTGAAGGAGACAGCAAAGCATGCATTTAGATCCTAAGACTGCTGAACTGCACAGTGTTTTTTATATTTATGTTTCTATTTTAAGTAAGAGCCTGTGGGTTATGAGTGTAAAAATAAAGCCAATGTCACTTGTATTTTCAAAATTCCCCATCACCGATTACACAGATTAAATCAGTTATGAATGGGAAAAAAAAGACGGAAATTATTCTACCATTGTAAATTCTATGTGGCAATTTGCGAGCTGGTCAGCATCAAAAAATTACTATCAGCATAGTTCACAGTAGACAGGAAATTCATCTTAATACACATTCAGTAATCCTGAACTTACATAAAGAAGCTAAACAATGAAATATCCTTTATCATAACTCTCCTCCCTGCATTAGGAATGCTAACGCAGTAATTACAGGTGATGTTGACAATACAGAAATATAAACTACAGAATGGAATCAAAGTAAAACAGACTAATGAGCATCATAGAAAAACAGTATAGAACCGGAAGCCTGGATGATCACGTCCAGTAAGGGGTGCTCTAACAGTGCCCAATTCAGTTGACAACAGTTTCCTTAGAATTAGTACAATCAAAACCATGAGGTCACTTAAGGTTAAAAACAAACCAAACCAACAAAAAAGTAACACTAATTACTTGGCAGCACAAAAAACAATGACAGGCAGAGCAACAAATACTTTTTTTTTTTTTTGGTAGCATGCTTTGTAAGATAGTTCTGGTGTAAATGTTTTGGGTTTTTAGCATATATTACAAAAGTTTAGTAACATGGAAACACTGCCAGCAATGGTTCAAACCAATCAAGTCCCACTGTGTCTCCCAGAAATGAAAAAAAACATAAACCACCCATGCATTCTGTAATACAACTGGTTTAGCAAGCCTGGCAATTTAAGCAAAATGTGGAAACAGACATTATGTTCTCTGGAGACATATGATCAGAAAATGGCCATAATGCAATACCAAAAACACACCTTGGGATCAAAGAAGAATGTAGCCACTCGTATTAATGCCCAAAGCAATGGAAATTCTGGTGTGACATTCAGACATTTGTTAAGTTCAGTCTAGGTCCAAGTTCAAGCAAAAAATAAAAATCCATATTCATCAAATTGTTACAAAACTGTTTTTCAAGAGCGACATAAAACCAGTAACGTGGTTATGCCAGTTATGAACATGCTTATAAAAATTACAAAAACTAGGGTAGCAAAAATTCCTTGGGATCATGATGAACAAAAAATCAGAAACCTCAAAAAACAGAATGTGCTTTCAAAATGCACAGATAAAGTGCAAGAGGTATAGAAGATACTGCAAAAAATTATGTAATACTTACTGTCTCTTGCCTGAGTGGGCAACTGCTTCCTCCTCTCATACCCAGTGCAGTCAGGCATTCATCATTCTAGAAGAAGAAATTATTTAGGAACTTTAATATGAAGCATTTTGATTAACTATAATTTTGAGTATTTTCATGTCTACTGTAAACCAATCAGAATTATCACTAATAAATGTCCTTTTTAAAGAGAAAAAGCAGAAGTGATATTAAGCAACACAGTAATACTGGCTATGTAGATATTCAGAAAAAGATACTACATTTTTTAAGTATGTACACTACACTAAAGACAACATGGGGAAAGACACAGGGTTGATGACTCTGAAGTCTAAGCTTGTTTGCATTGCAAACACTGCTGTAGAAGCTTAAGAAGTTGTTGCAGTGAACTTTACCTCTGAACCAGTATGCAAAAGCTATCACTTTCATAAAATGGAGAATTTCAGGTTGGTTTTAATAACCGAGACTTTTAATTTAATTCTAATTGGTCTATCTTTACCACTTACTCTTCAAACTTCCAACAAAGTCAAAGGAACAGCAGGTATATAATGCAATAATTTCAATGTGCTTATACCTACGAAAATTGATTTCTGTCAAACAATAGACTTCTTCAATTGAAAGAAGACTTAAACCAGAAAAATTACGAAAATTGTCAGGGGAACAACAAGTTAGAACACAAGAAGAGATGGAAGTCCTTTTCTTGTGTTATTTAACTTTTCAATGGCCTATTTTCACAAAGGGGAAATCAGTTTCCCCTAGATTTTGTGTGCATCAAAGGATACCAACTACAATACAGAATAGAAATATTACACAGCAGTTAAAACATTTTAGCAGACAAGAACCAAATGTGAGCTTTGTGAAGTAAACAACATTTCCACCCATAGCAATCTGCACATTATAAACAGCATTTAAATATGAGAATTTCTACCCAATATACTTCACCTTTTTTATATTTTACAGTCCCTCCTTTAACGGTATTTTTTGCATACACTGCCCCTCCCTTGCTTTTTAGAAACATGTATCTAAAATATATTGCTCCTTCTATTTTTTTTTTTTTTTAATTAGGGTGATCCAAGTACCATTATTACTGCAACCCTCAGCAAAATAAATGGCATTCACTAGAAAAGAGATTCTTGCCCTCAGTGTTTTTTTCCTTACTTAGCTAGGCTTATTCCATATGGGAAAGAAATAACTGAACACACAGCTTCCATCCGCTCTCCAGATTGTTTTGGTATTGCCACAGCAGTTACAGACACACGCAGTACATACAGACGGACACAGTATAAAAGCAAACAGTCACACTGAGTTCTTATCATCTACTGGAACATCCAAGCCTACTACCTAAAGAGTTCTGAGTAATTATGTATATACACAGAGGAGTAGGGGGAAAAGTGTAACTGCCTCATTTGCTAAACAAATTTTGAACAAAGACCGGTGGAGCTGCAGTTCAGAGTATGTGGCTTATTCAGTGGTCTACTGGTAGCTAGTACTGCCTTACAGGTTTTAGTTAATTCTCATTTTCAATTCTCAAGGTTAAGAGAACTGTGCAAGCAATGTGCTTAGCCTGTGGGATGGGAGTGCCTCCTGTTGCTCAAAAATGATTCATCAGAATTATAGCAGTATTATTTAGGTATCTAGTTCAGGTACTCATATTGCTCCATTATTGTGTCTCAATCTGTCTCTCTTTTCAGTAAAGTACTTACGCACTCTCAAACACTCAACCAAGAAGAGCTTGAAGAAAGCAAGCTGTTTGGGAATAACACCCTAAAAACCATGAGTCATCCTGAGACTATGCTGAATGTTCTCAGATACTGCGTAAAACTTTAAAGGCAACAACAATCCAAGGAGTTTGCTCTTAGAGTGATACTCTGAGAACCTCACAGGCTGCACACACACCCTCCCTCCAGCGGGACACGGGAATTGCCACAGCTGTCTACCACAAACACAGCTACTGCAAGGCAGCAGAATTGCCTCTGGCATGCCATGCCATTTCTCAAATAGTGCAACAACCAGCTACACTGCAAGTAACAGCAAAAACTATTGGCCTTTCAGTTTAGAAACCTTTTTTTTTGTATTGTGAGGGTGGTGAGGCAATGGAACAGACTGCCCAGAGAAGCTGTAGATATCCCATTCCTGGCAGTGTTTAAAGCCGGTTTTGAAGGAGCTTTCAGCAACCTGGTCTAGTGGAAGGTGTCCCTGCCCATGGCAGAGGAGTTGTAACTAGATGTTCTTTAAATTTCCTTCTAACCCAAACCATTCTGTGATTCTAGGATTAAGTCACATTTTCAGGATTCCAAAAAAGTGACAGACATACTGAAGTGTATGAATACATGGCCCTTAATACAGTGTTAACAATTCCTTTTTTTTTTTTTTTAATGCAAGATGGAAACTAGTTAATCTTTTTCTTGCATCAGAAGAGATGTGGGGCTACAGTTACGTTCTGAGGAACTGGGCTTTTTTGGAAGGCAGACAATCTGTGATAAACAGGAACAAAATATTTGCTGAAAAAGCCTGTTGTGTCACTCTGATTTTGGTTGAATAAAGCAACATCCTCAGAAGAAGATAAATAGATCCAACAACTGATGCAGAGTTCTAGTCCATGGAGTATGATGCTGGTTATCCAGCAAGTAACCCACTTACATAGCCTTGACATTTCTAACAGAAAAATAAACAAAAAATGTTTTAAGGCAGTCACACAAAAGAGCCCTGCAAGTAAGAGAGCATTGCAGGTAAACTCATAAATAAGTTGCTGTAGCAAGTGTCACCAATTTCTGCCAATTGAAATGTTTATGGCTTCTTTTTAATTGGGAAGCTTCAGTGATTGTGGTAATGGAGGTTTTGCTTTTATTCATGCAGATGTAGAGTGGCCAACAGGATCTGGTCATTAGATAGTATTTATTCTCTTATGGAGAAGCAGCACTGAGTAAGAACAAGTGATATGTTATTACTGCCATTCCTGTAAAGAAAAATAAAAATCAGCATTTCATTTCTACTACTGAACAAATAACATTTGAAACACAATACCAAAGTTTAAAGAAAAAAATATGGAAAAATGTAATACTGATGATTTCATATGCTGCTTCCTCATATGTAAACACACTCTTCATTGTAACAGAATAAACATAGAGACTAAGTCCCACGTCTAATTAGTCATCGACTCTTAACGACTACACTTGGAAAATAACCTTTTCTAAGATCAATTTTAGGCAGACACTGGACTACCCAAGTGAACCCCATGTGTGTGCACACAGGGCCAAAGCCACCCTCCCTTGTTTTCCCATTAGAGTGACAGACTCAGGGACATGAAGAACAACAACAGCAATTTCTTGGATGCTGCACAGTTATCACTGCTTCTCTCCACTTCACCTCCCTATACCTGCTATCTGCCAGAATGGAAGAGAAACTGGGAGCATTACTTGTGCAAACACTCAAGTGTAACACAGGGAATGAGTGTTAAAACTTCTCTTGTCTGTTCAGTAAATCTGTCTCAGTGTGTAATAGTCTAGGTTCTGTTTCCTTTTCATTTGTTTTTTAAAGGAAACATTAATTTATACTGCTCAAAAAAAAAAAACCCACAATTGGCTTAAAAGTGAGATAATACTTAAAACATTTAAAAATCGTACAGAATCAGCGCTTTTACAGTTGTTCTATTGTTTTCGTTTTTTCTTATGAACCCAAGGGTTAGAAATTTACTTAATCCTCTCCTTTCCTAGGAATGCCATGCAATCTCTTTACCCCAGTAATTGAAGTTATAAATGAAATGCTAAAGAAGCTGAGACTTAGCATAATATAATTGAATATTGTTAGCACTGTCATATTTGTGGTTTTGTTCTCTGGTTTAATAAATTGTCAACACTCTCCTAGCTCAGGACACCTAACTGTACAAATTTAGTCTATGGGAAACAGAAGTACAAGGATCATATAAACAGTTAAATTAGACTTATTCTAAAAGTATTAACTGCTAAGAATAATGTATTCTTCCTGGGCCTTAATTAATCTGTCTGTAGACACTGTAAAAGTTACTTCCTTAGGCTTCAGATGATTACAATCCTTATTTGATTACAGCCCTTCAATATTTAATAAATATGGGAATCCATAATCTGCCTAGAGGAAAAAAAACAAACCAAAACAAACCCAAAACTGTGCCAGGCTGCATTTTATTGAAACCTTCAATATACAAACAGAAAACACAATTGCAAACACAGCTGCTGCAGTAAAGCCTACAGGGATAACCCTCTCGCCCCACCAACACCCCCCTCCAAAAAAAAAAACACAACACCCCTTCCTTCCCCCCAAAAAAAAAAAAAACAACCCACCCAGAAAGTAAAGAAAAAAACGGAAAAAAGATCAATTCAGAAGCGTGTGAAAAATTCCAGCTCCTGAAATGATTCAAAACCTCTTCAATTATTTTTGACATTTGTAAATATGCTATTTTCTTGATATAAACTACTCAGTTTACCTGCACTTATATATATATATTACTGTATTCGTAACAGAAAAAGTACAAAAATATTCAAAACCTTAATTTAACTCTCTCAAAAAAAAAAAATAAAAATTATAAGTTAGCTGCTAGTTAGTATTTTCCAAAACAGTTGATCCTTTAAACATCTATTGAGCTTGCTGTGACGGAGAACACAAATATTGATGGAACAATTTATACATTTTCCTAAAAATTAGATACTGACAGCTAAGGAATTGAAAATACGAAAACAAGAACCCTTTAGCTCCTAATGAAACAGCAATGTACAACCCTAATTTCAAAATTTCTTGGGGGATCCTATGTATCTTACCAGCCTTCCAGAACTCTATTAATAAATTCTGTTAAATAAGATAGGCCCAAAAAACCCCCTAAACCAACCCAAACCAAAACCCCAAATCCAAACTGTTAAACACCTATAAATGACCCAAGTTAGTTTACCTTCATTTCTGACATTTCTCTGAAAGATTACCAACAGCAAGCAATTAAGACATAATATTAAAGCATGACATTCTGTCCACGGGTGCAAGGAGGATTAACATCTCCAGTACAAGTCCAGCTTTATAGAGGCACACATATGATCAGTATTCGGAGGTCGTAATTGTTCTTCTGTCACTAGTCTCTCCATATGATTTGTGTTTAATCCAGTTTTATGAAGTGTATAGTTGGAATTAATGGCATTTACAAATTTTGTTGGATTTTTATTATGGTGATCAGGAAACCAGAAAATAAAGAAAGGAACAAATATAATTCCTAGAAGTTTTGAACCAATATTTAACAGATAAGCAATTAAGTACAAGATATCTCTGATTTCACCTGTTATAAAAAGGTGAGGAATGAGTAAACAATGAAAACATGGTGCTTCAAATAGGATTCAACTTCAGGTTATCGTCCCAGCTTTTTCTCCCTACTTATCAATGCTGGTATTCTTACTTATAATCAAAACCACAGTACTGTGGTTTTAGCTTATTTATTTCTAAACAACAAAAACTAAATAATGAAAAAATATAAAGTTTTAAATTTGCAGATATGTGATTTCACTACCAGCTTACTGCAGCAGAAGCTTATTTGCCCATGTAGACAATTTTCTTGAAGATATCTCTTTTGTGAATAAAGGCAGGATAAAAAACCCCTCCTCTCTACAGTGAGAACTTGTGAATAATGACATTTTATAGTTAAACATCAATTTAAAAAAAAAATGCAAAGATAGAATTCCTTACCGTCTGTAGTCTACCCAATAGTGTTCGGCTAAGAGGATTTCCTACTGGGCTGAAACACCCTGTGAAAAGAAAAGGCTGTGAATTTTCTGCTTGTTATCCTTTTCCATCGAATAAACCATTTTATTTTAAAATCATTATGTTAGCAGGACATGTTTGACAAAATTCTAATGAAAAGCAGCAGCATCTTTCAGTCACAACTATGCAACCTTCAGTCAGGAACAGTTGGAGGGTTTATTTAACTAACAGACCTGACACAAGGTTAACTAATCCAATATTTCCATTCAAATGATTTGGAGAAATAGCTGAAGCTATGTCCACATGCCACCTCGTGCTCAAAGCTGACACTATTATCTAGGCTGTATTGCTTTTCTCTTCATTGAATTTCTGAGTAATGCATACAAAGTTTTCCAACAAAAACTCTCAAAGGAATTACTTCCTTATTTTATCTGAAGGAATAACTATGTCTATTCAGTAGCTCTCTTTGATCACTGAGTTCCTATCACAACACATCTTGCTGTTTATTTTATTCACTCTCTACATAGTGCACTTGAACAAGTACTTGTAAATTCTTTTCTTTTCAAACTATTATGTTAACTACTAAGCTCAGGAAAATCCTTTCATCATCTATGGATTTATCTTTTTGTTATTGGTCTCCCCAGCTGTATACTTAAGAAAACATCTTAAAAAGAAAAGACACAAAAATCTGAAAACTGTTGAACATGACAGTGAAAAATGCTACCGCTTTGTTGGAGAATGGTTTCTCAAGTACAGAGATGCCAGACAACACAGAGTTAAGCTCACCGGATTTTCTCTGTGAGACACTAGATTTGAAACAAGTTTTGTTTTCAAAGAGGAAGAAGTTCTGAAAACTCATTTTTATTTGCCACTCAAAAAACCTACTCTTGAGGAATCCAGTATCTGAATAAAGAGGACTTTTCAGATTCAGACTTCTAACGTCCTAGCACAGCTCCACAAGGAAGCTTGCACAACTCCATCTATAGTATACTTTCTAAAACCTAGTGGTTTTGACTTTCACAGGTTTACTCAAAAATGTTTAATCATTGAGATAATTTAGACAATTCTAAATAAAAAAGCTGCAAGCTCAAGTAATTATAGTTAAACCATGCTCCTGCAGTTCTTCTGCAGGCAAATAATTTCGTACTTGTTAGAAATCCTGTAATAACTGATTCTTCAATTTTGTGTATGAATTAAAAATTTTACAATCTTAATTTCAAAAAAGCTTCTATATATTCTGAAATGCTTAATTCTGAAAGGCTTATTTAGGTTTTTATTACTTTTTTTCCATCTCTTTTCAGAAGAGATGAGAATAGAAACAAGCGTCCTGAGTTTAACCCCTGGTCAGGTAGACCTGAAGCTAACCTTTTTACAAATAAGCTAGTTGCTAAAACATTTATTCAGCACTAACACCAAAAACCAGTGGGGATATTACTCCTCTTAATATTGTTATCTACATACTCATAGAGTTCCAAAGCAAGCTGCTACAGAGGTAATACTACATATGGATATACTGTTGTACACAAGTGTTATATTAATTTCTTGATAAATATATCCCAAAATCAAGACCAATAAGATGTATGTGTAATAAAGTATTTTCTTCTTTCGACAGCTTAATATTCTACCATAGGATTTTCAATGTGAGCACTGTAGTGTTCTGCCAGTTCACACAAACCCATTCAGGACAAAACCTATATAAAACAAATTATTAAAACAATTGCCTGTTTGGAAAAAAATTTCAAACTTTCATTAAAATAAATATTAACCAGTATTTTTATCAATATCATTGATGCTCTTGTTCTAAGGAAAAGATGTATTTCCTCCAAGTACTCCGGGACTGTATGTTTTTGTACGAGTACTTCTGTGTAGTCTCTATATTTAGCTGCTTGCCAGGTGAAAACTTTATGCTTAGACTGATATCCCCAGTTAAGCCTCAATAAAGGGCAGTGTAGACTTGTTCTGCGGCAAGCTTAGGAGAGACAGATGTGTAGCTCAAAGACACAAGGAGTGCTGTACTGAATTCTAGCAGCTGGCACTGGTTCTAACTTAGCACCTTCCATGACTAGAGCCTTCTTCCAAAACAAACACGAAATTCTTACTACTTCGCTTGAGGTGTAATAACTAAACAGACCACATTACACTTGGGTTCAAATATTCTGTGCTCCACAGAGCCAGTGCTGTTTAGTAATATTGAGCATGCCTATTGGTTACCTCAAACTAGTCTTTAGTGTTATCTGTTAGTAGTTTTCAGTTACTAAGCCTTTGTTTAGTAGCTCCTAAATTTAGAGTGGTCATATTAAAAAAAACAACCCAAAACAGAACAACAAATAAAAAAAAAACCACCCCAACACAAAACACAACACAACAAAACCTGTTCAAATATTCCTCATTCACAAAACAAGGTTCATTCAGCAAGCAAGGGAATACCCATCCCTTCTTTCTCTAATGATGCAGTAGATTTTTAAAGCAATTTTACACATTATTAGTTTGACAGGGTTCCATGCTTGATGAAGCATGTAATTGTTACTGAGCAGGTGTGACTAACAGCCTCAGCAGTGCCTGCTTAAGTTCTCTCTGATCCAGCCTGTGCAAACTTCTCAACTATTACAGTGAGGCAGTGAAACTGAGGTCAGAATTACAGAAGGACATTTCTACTTCATTCAAAAATGTTTGTAGGACACCATGACCTGTGGGGACTCTCATTTAGCCTGAACTTATATAAAGGTCATTAAATCCATTCTAAGGTTCAACCTGAAAGAAACAACACCCAGGTTTATCTGTCTTATCTTAAAGATGTTTCAGAATCACTAGTGAAGCATTTTTATTATTTCAGAAGGTTTACTCAAACTCTCCAACTTAACAGCATTTGCTGTCTTCACCTTCATAAAACCCTGTACACCTTAAGAAGCCAATATTCCCTATCAAAGGATTAACATTTGAATTACTGTATTTCCTATTACTCTGCACTGATCCTTCAGTGGTCTTTATAAGGAATTTCACATGAGAAGGATAATTTCTTTCTAGAAGAACCCACTGCTATTGTCTAAATGTGATGTTAAGATGTCTCAAATAGAGATGCTGTTGCTTTTTCTCAAAGGATCAGAATATTCACATGGACACAATTTAAAAGCAGTACCGCTCTTTTTATGGTCCACATAGTCCTCTTGCTACAATTCTCTTGGGAGCCCAAACATGTGCAGGGTTTAGGTAAATGTCTACTGAAGAACTGGTATCTTCTGAAAAATAGCATAGCTGTCTGCCTTGAGAAGGAGTCTGAAACTGTATTAGTTTCCTGTACAATTTGAACAGTGAACTGAAAGTTTATCCTCAGTTCCCCTGGGTCACTTCAGGCAATATATCCTGTCAGTATGATTACAGCTAAAGAGAAAAGAAGACAGAAATCAAGTAGCTGTCCTGTTCCAAACACATCTGTACTACCAAGTTCCAAATTTTACTGCCTGCTTTCTCTGCTCTAGGTAAGCACATAAATCTAAGGTGATTAAATTCTAAATAGCTGGGCTGAAATACACAGGAAATAGATGAGCTCATTTCCAAACAGATTAAACTTACATAGACATTTCTATGGTAACAGCAACAATGCCACAAAGTAGCACTTGTTATGTATATAACAAAATAATTGTTATATAGGTAGATGTATGTTATACATAATTATGTATAATAACATAATACGTAACACAATATGTAACAACAATATGTATATAAACATAATTAAGAACACTTTCTTTAAAGTAACACCATCTTTAGCTATTATATGTTTTAAATTAATAGCAAAAAAGCTAGAATAGGGAAAAAACAGGTCCTTCTAGGGAGCCACATAATTCCACTATTATCCTACTGGAGTGTCTACAGTCACCTAATATGAAATGTTTATGTGAAAAAATCCTCTTCTAAATAGAGGCTGAGAGAACATTCATTATAAAATTTCTATTTTAATTAACTTTTCAAAAGAAAGCTTTTTCTCCCTTCATGAAATGCTATCAATAAATTAATTCTTTTATTAATAAAGGTACTTGTGCATCACAAATCTCCAAGGATTCCAGTCTCATGGAATCTACAGTTAATGAAATCATTGAAAAGTTCATTCTCAAAAATCCTCAGAAAAATCACAGAACACCGACAAACAAATACATACCTAAGAAAATCGGAAAAATATAATATTCAGACATTTCTGCGATTAACCGCTCTAAAGCATGCAGAGAGAAAAAAATAATCTTAGCTATTCCAGCTCCAGATTATCCTGTTTTTGAGTTTCAAGTTTATACTAATTATTAACACCTAAAAACCCCACAAACAAATCCTGAAAGATCTGAAAATAAACTGTCTCCTCTAAGAAACAGTATTTCTTATTGCAGACCTTCTTGTAATTTATATTGTGGCAACATGGCATAGTTAAAATACACCCAAATAAACAACACTGGGAAAAAAAAAGTCAGCTCAGGTATGAGATGAATTATACGGATATCAGCTCAGTTCTTGTCCTACTTATCTTCTGTGGCTTTAAAACTGCTCCCAGTAAACAGAATTATGTTCTCAGCACAGTCACCTACTCAAAAGTATGGCCTTTGTGATGAAAGGATTGTAGTATGCAGTATAATATGTACTACACTTCAGGATTCCAAGCAAGGTTTTGAGGTTTTTTATTAAAGTGAAATCTTTCAGAGAAGTATTACTCAGTTCTTACTGTAATTTTTCAAGCTAAGTATAAGAGAAAGAAGCTAATTTTGTAATTACATAAATATATTTATCTTCCCTTAAAGGCCTTATCCTCACAACAATTATGCTTTAACAGATCAAACAGAATTCATTAAATAAAAAGATTGTTTATACACTGGGTAAGAATCTGTTTACCTTTACGTAACACAGGATCACAAATACTTTCAAAACCCAGTGCAAACATTTTCAGATGGACTTCACATAAAATTAAAGGAATGGATGCACCCAGACAGGTACACAAGTGTACCTTTTGTTTTCCTAATAGCCAATGCTATAGGTGAAAACCCACTTCAACATAACTTAGCCTAAC